AGCTGGCAGGGAAAACAGGAACAGGGGGAGTCTTGGTAAGTTGGGTGGCAGCTCCCAAGGGGGTTTCTGTGATCCAACCCGTCACAAAGGCACTTCTGGGTTCACTGCAATAGAGATGTAGAAGAGCTGGCATGTGGCTCCTCAAGCCTTGGACCCAAAGATTTCAGAACAATTTACAAATATTAATTAACCCTCATAAGCCCCCTGTGAAATAGGTGGATGATGTTAACTCCCTTTGGCAGCCGGGGGAAACTGAGGTACGGATCAGTTAAATGACTTGTTCAAGGTCGCACAATGAGTCAGTGGAATGGCTGGGAATAGAACCCAAGAATCCTGACTGCCCAGTCTCCTGCTCTAACCGCTGGCCTCATTCCCCGCTCCCTGTGTGATGAACTTTGTTGGCTCGTTTGCATCATCTTAAGCCTAAATCCTGTGATTATCTGTTGTAGATTTCCCTCTGCCGCCACCACCACCACCACCACTTCCTGGAGATGATCTCGGGAACCTCCCAGCGCCTCCTGGTGCCTTTCCCCCACCACCCTCTACAGATGAGGCTGGTTTCAGTGTGCAGGTAAGGCAGTCTGGGTGTTTCCTGCTCAGACAGGTCATAGTGGGGATGGACTATGAGTTGCATGTTCATGGTGATCAAACAAGAGGTAGGGGAGTGCTGTGGTTTGAGAATGGAGAGAAGTAAATGTAGCAAAGAGCTACAAAAGGATCTCTCAAAACTGGGTGACTGGGCAACAAAATGGCAGATGAAATTCAGTGTTTATAAATGCAAAGTAATGCACATTGGAAAAGATAATCCCAACTATATATATAAAATGATGGGGTCTAAATTAGCTGTTACTACTCAAGAAAGAGATCTTGGAGTCATTGTGGATAGTTCTCTGAAAACATCCACTCAATGTGCAGCAGCAATCAAAAAAGCAAACAGAAAAAAGATATACTGGCACTAGAAAAGGTTCAGAAAAGGGCAACTAAAATGCTTAGGGGTTTGGAACGGGTCCCATATGAGGAGAGATTAAAGAGGCTAGGACTTTTCAGCTTGGAAAGGAGGAGACTAAGGGGGGATAGGATAGAGGTCTATAAAATCATGAGTGATGTGGAGAAAGTGGATAAGGAAAAGTTATTTACTTATTCCCATAATACAAGAACTAGGGGTCACCAAATGAAATTAATAGGCAGCAGGTTTAAAACAATACAA